TTAACTTTTAAATTGCTTATTTCAATAAAGGAATTGATGTATTTGTTGCATCTAAAACTTTTTATTGTTAATTGATGATTTCTTGGAGGTCGCTATTGCTGTGGTTTTTTTCAATATTATCCGATATTAATTTTTATTACCTTTAAATTTCATTTTTTAATTAATTACAATACTGAATTATTATTTTCTATTTATTCCTAAAGTAATTATGAATAATTAAACTTTAGTCTTTTATTAGATAGTAATTAATATTAACTTTATCTTTCATTTACTAAATTTTTAGTTAGCATATTATTTTAATAATCTATTAGCATCATCCTTTTAGGAAGATGATTCTAATTGTTCTTTTAAATAATCTTTCTCTTTCTTAGTGGCATTTATTTATAATAAGAGTTTATCACATTCATATTGAGTAATGAGAATTTCTTATTCAATACTTGATTAGCTTTAATTTATTTTTAAGTTATTTATTATTTGAGAACTTGATTTCTGATTGTTTAATTCTTAATTGTACTAACTATCTTATTAAAATCTAGATTAATGTTTTAAGACTATTATTTGGATTGATTATATAATCGATCTTTTTCTTGTAGTTACTCTTGCAATTTCTAATTTTTTTCTTTCAATAACTAAATTTCAGGAATATATTTTTATGAATCATCTTTAATTTTGATTTATTATTATTATAATCTTATTCTAAATTATTGAAAGCCTCTAAATAATAAAATAATAATAATACCCTCTCAATCACAAATTTCTTGTTTTAAGGATTGATTGAGATCATTTAATTAGTTAATTTAAATTTCCTTATGAATAAATTTTTGTTTCATAATATTAACTTCACTTAAATAAGATTCAATTTCTTCTCTTTATTCTTAGATAAGTAATTAACTTTGCCTTGATATTTACAAGTGTTTTTCTCTTAAATCATCATTTTATCTTAATAATACATTAATTCTAGAATATGTTTTTTAATTACTTTTTCTTATAGATTTCTTCATTTGATGTTTATTCAAAGTGATTAAGTCTAGTATCAGGTATTTTCTAAGTATTTTTTAGAAGTAACTATAAAATAGAAATATGGATAATTCACATACTTTTAATCTTAAGAAAATTAAGGACTTTAAAGTTATTGATAACGATTTTCTATTAATGAACTATCTTATTGTGGTTAAGTTGTTTGGGATACATTAATTGTTTATGGTCGATAGTAAGACATAATTTTAATTTAAATTAAACTAATGGGTTCTTGCATTAGAAATAAACATAAAGAAGAAGTTCAAAAAAGGAATTCTTGTAGATTAAAAGTAATCATACCTAAAAATCAATTGTTGGAAAGTATATTTTAGAATATAATTTGCAGCCAATCCTGTATATGATGAAATGCCTTTTGATTAAGGAGATTGCTTTCATTTAAATAAGAACCTATTTAAAGATGAATATATTATTATTGATTCCAATCCATTTCTAAGTACTGAGTATGGAATCTATTAATGGTGTTATTGTAGAAAAACTGATTCTAGGAAGTTAGTAAAAACTATAAAAAAATCAACAGATCCAAAATCAGATGAACCTGTTTTGATATTGAATAATATTTATATGATGCAATACTTAGTAAATTTAATGTAAAAGCAAGGATCATCCAAATATTGCCAAAATGATTGAATATTTTAATGAAGTAGAGCATTACTATATAATATTTGAAGATAATTAAGGTGGCAATCTATTAAGTAAGATGATAAACTAAGGAGGAAATCCAGAACAAATGGCTGCTGTCATTATAGAGTAAGTATTAAGCACTTTTGTTTATTTGCATTAAAAAAATATCATTTATCGTTTTTTAAGTATTATTATGATATTTATTAATTTAAAGATCATAATACTATTATTTGTGATGATTAACTTACAGTAACGTTTTTAGAATTTGGAGCTGCTAAAAAAATTAAATAATATATAAAACTTCCTGTTGGAGATCAATATTATTAATCTCCAGAAATGCTATCTGGAAATTATGATTTTAAATCTGATATATGGTCTACTGGTGTTTTATTACATTTTTTACTATCAGGAGCTATGCCTTTTGATGGTATTATGGCATAATCAATTAAAAATTCAATTATGAGAGGTATAATTAAATTAGATGATGCTTTTGATTGGGATAAGATTCCTCAAGCTAAAGAATTTGTTAAGAAATTATTAAATTTTTCATAATATTAAAGACCTACTGCATATGATGCGTTAAAAGATAAATGGATAGAAAAAGCTAAATAAAAAAAAAAAGCAATAAAAATGAATCCTGCTTTAACAAATCTTCGTAAATTCTAAAAATGTGAAGTCTTAGTAGAAGCTATCATTATGTAAATTGTATAAATGACTCTAACATAAGAATAAAAAAGAGAAATCTTTTATATTTTTTAAGAATTTGATACTAATAGAGATGGTAAAATTTCTACTTAAGAATTAATTCAAGGTACTTAGAATATTATAAATAGAGGATATAAAAAATATTAAACTAGTACTAAATTAGAAGATTAAGACATTGAAAAATTGGTTAAGAGGATTGATTCAAATGGAAATGGTTATTTAGATTATACAGGTAATTTTAATATTTATAATATATAGAATTTTTATTAGCATGTTAAGATAAGAAGAAATTATTAACAGTTGAAAAATTAAAATTAGTATTTGCTTAATTAGATGTTGATAAAGATAATGCTTTATCAATGATAGAAATGAGAAGAATTTTTGGAGGTAATAGGATTAGTGATAAGAATTGGGAAAATATTCTACGTTAAACTAATTTACAATAAAAATCTGTCTTAACAGAATAAGAGTTCTTACAATTTATAAACAAAACTATGTAAAATGATCATTCCCACTAGTGATTTTATTAGTACTCAAATATTAAATCTGTCTACACTTGTCAAAAGACATTTAGCAGATATGTTAAATGGTTTTTTTATTAATTCATCTAATCTGCTTCTAGGTCTATCAGTCTAACTATTCATTTTTCTACTTGTTAAGATAAACTTTGCCTATTGTCTTAAAATCTTCTCACTTTATTCTTAATGTTTTAAATAATCAATATTAGAACTTTATTTCAAAATCTTTGCCTTTAATTCTTTTGGGTATATTGTTTTCAAATGATTTAACATCTTTAAATCTCCTTACTTTCCTGCTTTCTAAAGCATTATAAATTATAAAAAATTATCTTTGCATTGACTACTCAACCTATGTTTTGTTTAATCATCTATATTGATTGTCTTCCCATTATTTAACATTTGTATTAATAAATTAAAATATTTATTTTATAAAAATTTACTTACTTCCCTATCTTTTAATATCTTATAATCAAAATTCTACTCCAATATTTCATAATCAGATTATTCTTCACTTATTTTTATTCTATTTCTTTATTACATAATCAATTAAATTCAATCATATTTTTTGAACAATCTATATTTATTCTAATAAAATTAATATTATTTATTTATTATTTTAAACTAATTTATAGAACTTTTGTAAACTATAAATTATTTAAATTGAAACTTATGTTATTTATATTTTCTGCTAAATAATTGTTTAAATCATCATTAAATTATATGTATTTATGAACACAAAAATATTTTAATTAACAAATTTGGAAATGTATATGAGTTTTATATTAATTTTATCAGTTTTAATTAATTAATGATCAAATTTATTTCCATCATACATCATCTAAAGATATTTTACTTTTTTTAATTTTTTCTAAAATTTTAGTATTCATTTCTGACTATTATCCCCTTAAATTTATTAAGAAACAATAATCTTGTTTCTTTTTAGGCATTTCTTATGATTTAGATATGTTTATAATATAAAAGTTTATAAACGAATTCAGAAGAGATTTTTATGAAAATAATATATTACAATTTATTTTATAATAAATGAATCAGAATCAGGGTTAAATTTCTTAGCCTAACTAAAATGAAGAATTTGTTTATTTTGAATCTAAAGGATTAGATATATTAATAAAATAGATGGGATTTGAGGAAATTGTTTAATTTGATGATAAGCCTAGATAAATGATAATAGATATTGGAAATGAATTTATGAATAAATTATTAGAAGAATCAATGAGAGTAAGTTAAAAGCGATAATAAAATGATGATTAAAAGACTTAAAAGCCAAAGCTTGCAATTTAAGATGTAAAATTTGCATTAGGTGATTATTATATATGTTAAAAGTAGAGAATTGTTTAAGAATGCCACAGTAAAACTTTAGTATAGAGAAAGATCTCTGATTCTAGTTATTTTACATTAAATATATATAAAAATATATAATATTCTTAAACTCATTCGACCTTTTCATATTTGATATCAAGTGGTTTTCTGGTTAAATCTTTAGGATAGGTAGCAAAAATGATTGTCATAACTATTAAGATGAAGATTGAAACTAAAAAAGGACTATAATTATCTTTTTAATATAATGGCAATATTATAGCTGGAGATAAAAAGCCAGCTGCTCTACCAAAAGCAATAGTTGTTCCTATTCCTTAAGATCTATATAAAGTTGAATAAGATTCTAAAACAAGGGGAGTGAATGAAAGAAAAGTCATTCTATTAAAAAATTTGAATGCAACTAAACCTAACAATAAATATTTGGCTCTCCAATACCAAATTATAAACACTGCTATCATAGATGTTATTGTTCCTATTAAGATTATAGGTAATCTTCCAATTTTATCTATTAATAAAACAACAAATAAAACAGCTGGCAACTCAATCAAAACTGTATATAATAAATCTAATAGAGTTTTTTCTTCTTCATCAAATAAAAATGGTATGATAATATAAAGTCCAGAATACATTAACATGGAAATCATACTTAATGAATATGCTCTCCATGTAATTGGTAAGTTTTCTTGATTGAATAAATCTTTAAAGCTTTTCTTATCATATTGTTATTCAAATGTTTGATTTCTCCATTATTAAAGCTATTAAATTTCATTTTCATCTAAATTAACATAATCTTTATCATTCATTCTTCCCATAAAATTAATTCCTTCTACTCCTTCTTGAATTTTCCCTTGTGATATAAGAAAACGAGGTGATTCATGTAAATATATGATACTACCAATTAAACAAATAAAACATGGAATACTATTCGTTACTGCAATTGCTCTCCAATTTCCTGTTGCTATTGAATCTAAAAAAATAAAAGCTAATAACAACATCCACATTCTACCAACAATATACATCATTTATAAAGTAACAATAAATTATCCTCTTACATTAAGAGGTGTCACTTCTGCCATTAATATTGATGATATAGGTAATGCTATACCAAATAATAATCCAAACAAAAACCTTAACGTTAATAATTATGGCAAATCTTACACAAAAGCTGTTAGAAGCATTGCTATAAACAATATTACAATTCTTTTATACTTAAAGTAAACATGACCATACTAACATAGATTTACGTCCTGTATAATCTGAAAATTATCCACAAATCAAAGCTCCTATAAACTGACCTAAATTGAATACTGTTGCTAATATTATCAATTAGCCTAAACTTAGAGACCATTCTTTATAAATTATTGCATTCATTAATTGCAAAAACATAAATTCTGATCCATCTAGTAAATCTATCAAACTTATTATTAAAAATGTTTAAATCTAAACCTTACCAAATTTTATTCTTGTAGAAAGAATATCATCAAATGATAAATTATTCATACAATTTGTAATATTATTATTATATTATCATTTATTTCATTTTATCACTATAATTATTCCGTTTTTTTTTCTTTTTTTTATATATATGCTTTACTCAAAATCTATTCATTCTTCAAAATTTATCTTAACTTTTTTTATCAAAAAACAATCCTAATTACTAACATTTCTATTCTTAAATTAATACATATTCTGAATTTAAACTTTTAATAATAATTTTTAAAAATAATGATAGCAAAATTTTTGATTTTAAAGATAAAATTGAATTTTATTAAGAATAAATCTATTAAATAAATTCTAAAAAATATTAAACTAATCTCTACATTAAATTAATTTGTTCTTTTATTTTATTTGAATAAATATTAAAAAGAATAATGAACCTATTAAAATATTAAGATTTATTTTAAAGTTTTATAAATTCTAACATTTTTAACAAAGGAAATAATTATAAGATGATTAAAATTAATCTGAAATCAATTATTTCCATAATAATCATTTTAAAAACAAATTTGATGTTATAGAATGATAGTAAACCAAATTATGAATAATAAATATAAATGATAAATTATGGTGATAATATTAATAATTTTAAATATATTCTGATTATGTCTTACGATTTTCTTTTTAAATATATCATCATTGGAGACTCAGGTAAGCTATTATATATAATAAAGGTGTTGGGAAATCCTGCCTTTTGCTTTAATTATTAGATAAAAGATTCAGATAAAAACATGAAGTTACAATAGGAGTTGAATTCGGTGCTAAACCAATAGAAGTGGATGATCTTAATATAAAATTATAAGTTTGGGATACTGCAGGATAAGAAGCGTTTAAAAGCATTACTCGAACATATTATAGATCAGCTGCTGGTGCTTTAATAGTTTATGATGTCACAAAGTAAATAATTTAATTTCTATTATTTTAGGAGAGAATCTTTTAATAGTGTATAAACATGGATTGAAGAAGCAAAATAGAATGGAAATTAAACTATGAGCATGATTTTGGTTGGGAATAAAACTGATTTAGAGTCTATGAGGGAGGTTACAACAGAAGAAGGAAAGCAATTGGCAAAACAATAAAATATTTTATTTATTGAGACTAGTGCAAAGACTGGAGATCATATTGATGATACTTTTATTATAAGTGCTAAAGAGATCATTTAAAAATTAAAGAATAAGTAAATTGATTTGCGAGATGAAGTATTTTTATAATACTAGATTATAGAATTGTGGTATTAAGAAAGGTGCAAATGCATAAAATAAGAATACACTTCAAAATTCAGAGGACGATAAAAAATAACTTAATAGTTGTTGTTGAGTTTCATCAATATGATTGTTTCTCAACAAATATCTATATATATTAAAGTATTTTAATTAATTCATTCCTCTTGAAAGAGTTCTTTTAAAAGTGTGTTTAAGTCAATTTTATTGATTTCAATCTTGTTCTCTTATTTTGTAAAAATATAATGTGGTTTACGTATTAGAGAAAGGTTCTCAAATTTTTTTATCAAAATCTATTCATCTGAATTTGAGTTCATATTCATATTCATATTCATTTTTTATTTTTATTATTAATAATTCATACTTTATAATTATTCAAATCAAATGTTTAGTTAATTCATTTAAGTACCTTTAGATGATTTCTTGCTTTTATTTTTCATGAAAAAAAAAGAATATTTTTATTTCAAATTAAAAGTTACCAAATTATAATAAATAAAACAATAATATTTTTAAAGCTAATAAGTTATCTAACATATTCTATAATGAACAAATTATAAACATAGAATTTTTAAGTATATATTAATTAGGTATATTATAACCAATTAATAATATTATTTATTTTCTAAGAAAGTTCTCTTAGTCGTAAATATTATACGTTTTATAAAAAATGATCGTAAAATAGTTTAAGCAAAGGAATTAATCAAATCTTTTCCTATAACTTTTTTAGGATAGATTTAAGTGACAATAATATTTGATCATAAATTAATTATGAAATATTACAAAGTTAAATGGGATGAAGTACCATTATTGGAAGAGATTAGTGCTAAGGAATAAAAATAGCTTAACCAGAGAAATAAATTCCATAACTTTCCAACTAATTAATGGTTAAAGAAAAGATCTGAACATGCTAAGCCAGAATACCTATATTATCCAGAAGAGAGAAGATTGTAAATAGAACTTAAATAAATTTTTAAGGTAAATTACTAATCTTGAAGTTAGACTTTAGATTGCAAAAATTAAGGTGTTTTAACTTTATCTCATATATTCTTTTTATTCAAACACTTTGGATTTAATGTTAATAGCAACGATTTGCAAAAAATATATCAGTATATTGATTAAGATTAGGATTAAGCTTTATCTTTAGATGAATTCAAAGGATTAGCAGAGAATCCTAATGCTTTAATGGCATTTAGAAATATGATGACAAAGATTCAAAAAACAATGGAATATAATGATAAATATATTCCATTTTCAGTTGGAGCAATGTTAAATCATTTGAGTTACTTAGTTAAAAGGGAAAAGTAGCTAAAAGTAATTATGTCTGAAAAAAGCATTTAAGCTAAATTCTTTGCATTTCGTTAACTTATTTAAGAAACTGAAAAAAAAACAATAGCTGATGAAGCATTTCAACTTTATCTTTAGGCATAAGCTGAATTAAATAAAACAATTAAAAGATAAAATTCAGTCGATGTAAAAATAAAATTAAGAAAATCATTTTCTACTATAAATGGATTATAACCATTAATATTTCGAAATATGTTGATGAAAGATGCAGATGAGTTATAAGAATTAGCTAGATTAATAAGAATGTAGAGTAAGGTTTAAATAGATTCTTTTGGTAATGTTAGTGAAGCATTAGATGAAAGTTCATTGTCTAATATTGAATAAAGTGAACTAGATTAAGTTATTTTAAAGGCTTAGCAATAGGGTAAAGCTTAGGCTAAGAAAGAAATTTAAGCGATGTTGATGAATCAAAATGAACATCTTAAATTAAATTTTATGCATAAAAAAACATTGAGTCTTACAAAAGCAGATTTTACACCATTAAAAGTTAATATTAATAAATGTCATTCGACAAAAAACAAAAGTTTGTTAGAGAGAGAATTAAAATTATAAAGAATAATAAGTTCTGAGGATTTAACGAGTTTTAATTTTCTTTCATCATCGAGATCAAATAAAAATTAATTGTCTACTTAGGAATAATCTACATATGAAAATCAAGGAGGTTGGTCAAATAGGATTCTATCTTTAAAATTACCTACTTTACAATGATTTTTATATAAATATTATTAATGCAAAACTAAGCTACGATGACAGATTTAAACGAGGATGATATTAGAAGGATTGATAAGCACATTTCCAGAAATATAAATATGATAGATGCTTGTACAAGGGTATTAAAGATGGAAGAATTAAGACGAACAAATGAAGACAATTAGCGTTTGATGGGTCTCATGCGATCACATTTATATTTTAAAGGAAATTTATCATAAGATTATGTTTGGGAATGTTGTTAGGTATATAGATAGATTTGATTTATTAGTTGATGAGATTTGAGCAATTAAAAAAGAATTAATTAATTTACTTAAGAGGGAGGGAGAATAAAGAATAATTATTAATTTTATTAACTGGAGAAATAAGCATTTAGTCAAATGAATAAGAATTATTAAGTACCAAACATTTTGGATCCACTTTGATAATATTTGGAAATGATTGTTATTCAGATATGTATTGCATATTTAGGAAGCAAGCCCAAACCTGATAGTGAAGACCAAATCTATATGTAAAGCAGCCGTAATTTCCAAGTTAGATTTCAAAATCAATATGTTAACATAAGAGATAACGAAAATAAATATGTTACTCTAATAGATATATGGATTCCATTTATTTAAGACTTTGCCATTTACTAAAGTTAAGTAATTCTACCTCAACAGTTTTACACAATATTTTTATTGTTAAGATATTTTGTATAATCAAAATTAGAAGGTATGTTAAGTGTTTTTGGTGATAAGTGGTATCTTTGAATTAAGAGAAATAACAGAAACTAATACAAAATCTATTAGTATTTATACACCTGGTTAATTGATAGGAGATTTTGAGTGTGTCAATTATTATTATACTAGAAAGTAATAAGCTATCTGTATTAGTGATGAAGGATCAGTCTTGGTTTTTGATGGCATTTATTTTTTAAATTCTATATTACCAAATATTAAATCAAATTTTGTAGCTAAATAAATAAATGAATTTAAATAGACATAATAAAGTATTTAGATGAAAAAGACATTATAAAGAATATTTCCAGAATAATCTATTGAATAATCATCATAATTATAACTCAATCAAACAAGTACTAAACATTTTAGATTTGCTAAATTATCAAACCCTCGATTTTTCAAATTAAAATAAAGCCCTGAAAAACATATAACTCAAATTCAAAACAGTCTAAGTATTAATAGATCTTAATAATAATTATTATCAACAAGTCATAATAATAAAGTATCAGTTTTATCATTTTCTACAAAATAGGAATCATTTTAAGGAAATCTCAAAGGTAGATTATTAAGAAATGAATTATTAAATAAGTTTATAAATTAATAATCAGAATATTAGGATGTTGTGTAGAAATTAAGAAGAACTTAATCTTAATTGGGCATCAATAAATGATTACTATAATAATAATAATAATAAATTCAATCTGACATTATACCAAAGCGTTTAAAAGTTTTTTTTAAGTAATTCTTCATTCGTTTTAAATCAGTTATTTTTTTTAAATCATATGTATTAGTCCAATCTTTTGGCAATATTTCTCTAAGGATATCATCATATTCACTTTTAATTCTTGCCAACAAATTTATGACAGATTAATTAATTTCCTCAATTTCTTTAATTATTTTTCTTTTCTAATTATTTAGATGAACTAATTCTTAATCATAATCATGTAATAAAGATTCTAATCTTAATTATAATTATTACCTATTTTTTTAAACGTATTTAAATCAGCATCTCCCAAAACACCATCTAAATCTTCTTCTAAATTACGCTTCTACTAAACTTTTTTATTTATTTCTAATTCTATATTTCTCAATTATTCAGTTTTCCTAACAATAACGTCTCTTAAATTACATATCTTCCTCTTATCTTAATCTGGCACAATTCTCTAAAATTTATAGTAATTCTCTCCTTCTCTCTTTTTCATTCTATATAGCCCTAAAAATATCATAATAATTAATACAATATCATATTTTTAAATTATTAAATTGTAGTCCCTGTTTTTTCTAATCCTGCTCTAATTGTAGCATCTTCTTCTATTAATGGTTTTAAATAGTTCATATTCTCTTTGAATTTTCTACTTACTTCTTTTAAATCTAATTGTAATGAATTTCCTAAACCATTTTACTATTCTGGTAAATTAGTTTAAGAAAAGAAATATTCATTTGCTTTTATATATCTGATTCTTTTTTTAAGATTTTCTGTCCATTCATTAAATGTTTTTGCTTCCTCAGATATTCTTCTAATTAATTCACTGAAAACTTAATCACTTTCTCTATATAATCTATCTAAATCATTTAATAATCCTTATTCTGCTTACTCTAATTTAGATATCTATTCTCTCATTAATGCAATATTATCAAATTATTCCATGAAATCCATATATGCCTATAATTTTGATGGTTATGGTTAATCTAAATTCTATTATGAACCTTAAACATTTTGTAATCCTTACAAATTTTAATTTTACATATTTATATTTTCTTCATCTCCAAATACAATATTTAATTTATTTATCCTTTCTTATCTTAATCCTCTTAATCTTTATAATTCTTCTATTATTTTATAAATTAAATTCATTTTTTCATCTTTTAGTTTATTTCTTTGATTTAATTTTCCATTTAGAATTGATTGTTATCTTTATTTATTAGCAAATAAAGGTTCTGCCCTTTATACATTATCATCTACTTTTGTAATTAGTAAATCTCTAATATTGTCATCTATTGTGTCTAATTAACGACAAATTTCATATATTTCATTATTATCCTTTTCAAGTTCATTATCAAAGTATTTTAATTTCTTTAATAAATTATCAATCTCTGTTTCAACATTTTTATTGTATTACCAAAATTCTTATGATTTACTTAATTCCATAAGTTTACGATCTTATTGATCTCTCATTACATTTCCTAACAACTTTTACATTTTTGGTAAACTTTTCTATTGCATGAGTGATTATATAAGTGGATCTTCTATTCTTTATAAATCTTGAACATAATCTTCATATTGATATCGCTTTAAATCTGCTATCTTATTAGAAAATTCCTCCTTAAGTCTTCTCTTTTTATTTAAGATCAAACTTTTTCTTCTATTGAGCAACATAATCACCTCATTAACTACTTAAAAATAAATATACTATTTTAATCTAATTCTCTATTAATTTCTTCAAGTGATAACGAATTCAAATCTTCAAATTCGAAAGATGCATGTGGTGATGTATCAGCAAATCGAGCTACTCTTGGAGGAGTTTACATTCTCCCTTAAACAAATGAAGAATTTTAACTAAGTGGTCTTTAGGGTATGAATGGAGCATTGGTTGTGCTCGTATTTAATTTCATCAAATGAATTTAATAATATTAATATTCTATACATTTTATTGTAATTAATTTTTATTCATTTAATCCATATTTTCATTTATTCTTTATATCCGAAATCTCAAGATTAGTTTAAAATCTTTCTCTTTTTATGTGAATATTTATTGTTTATTAATATCAATACTACATTTTTTTAATTTACGATATACTATATTTTTAAATTAAAATATAATCTTAAATCTAAACTTTAAGTACAAATATAAATCATATCAAAAGCAAATCTATAAATTTCAGAGAAGAAAAGAAACTCTTTTTTCTTTTTTATTGATTGG